GAGGAGGAGGAGGAGGAGGGAGGAGGAGGGAGGAGGAGGGAGGAGGGAGGACCCCGTGTGGCAGGCCTCCTCCAGCACGGGCGGCGAGGCTGGCAGATGTCCGGGAGCACCGCCGACCAAGTCTGGCGGCCGGCGTGCCGTGGCGCACGGCTTCTGGAGGCCGCTTCCCGGCCCAGGGGGCCGCCAGAAGACGGCTCGGACGGAATCGGGCGGGCCCTAATGGGGGGCCCTGATGGGGTGACCCAAAGGGGGGCCCTAAAGGGGTGAAGAGCATCGGGGGCCCTACAGGGGAGCCCCAAAGGTGACCCGGAGGGGGGCCCTGCAGGGTGGAATCGGGCGGATGGGGTGAAGGAAAGGGCCCTCAAGGGATCCTTCAGGGCCCATTTGGGGCCCCTGTTGGCTCCAAGAGGGGCCCTAAAGGGCCCCTTTGGGGCCCTTTTCTTCACCCCCCGGTCAGGTCACACCCCATTCCCAACCGCCCTAAGGAAAGGCCGGCCCATGGAAAGTGGCCGGATCCCCTGGGGCCGACGTCACCAAGGAGGTGCAACGTCGGAGGTCGAAGGAGAGGTGGAAGGGCAGAAAGACAAGCGGCGGGCTGGGAGGATCGGGCTGGGAGAAACAAGTAGATCACCCATCTCTTTGGGTATGTTTGAGCGGGGGAAGAAGCGGTACAAGATAAATGTTATCCGTCACCAGGGGTGCCTGTCCCAGCGCGGCTGGAAGGCTTATACAGTCAAGCATGATCGTAAGGATGGGGCAACTTGGCCAGGGTACCCTTGCATCCTTGCCCCTTCGGCGCATCCTTGCCAACTTTCGCTGGCCAGCCCGTCAGGGTACCCTTGCATCGTTCGGAATTCGGCCGCGCTCCCAAGGCCCTTGCATCCTTACCGCGCCTCCTTATCATCCTGGTTGACTGTACCCCGACATGCCACCAGAAGGGAATGAACTTCCCAGCCGCCCTGGGACGGGCGTCCCCAGCGGCGAAAAGGTTGATGTTACACCGTTCTTCGCCCGCCATGTGGGAGGAGCGTCGGCTGCCCAACAGCGGCCGCTGCTAGCTTTGGGCAACAGCTGCTGCTGCTTGGGCGCCGGCGCAGTGCTTGCCCGCCCCCGTTCCTGGCGTGCCAACGGTTAAGTCAGGAATGTCCTTCTACAGGAGGAATCTTCAAACACACTCAAAAAAGGATAGTGGGGGACGTGTTTTCTACTAATGTTTGGAATTTGTTCTGGATAGTTGCTGACTCTTTGACAGCTTTCTTACACAAGCCGCCTGGAGGAGGACACGCCCGACCTGAGCCAACGGTCCCCGCTGCCATTTTTCACCCTCCTGGGGCCCCCACTTCCGTCCCCGACCAAGAGACGGGCTCCGCACCCTCCGTAGCTATTTTCGGGACGACCGACATGTGTGCGGAAAGAATGGGTACAGTGCACAACAGCAGTTCCTGCTCATTCTGAACAGAACTCGCTGTCAGTGTCGCCGCGGCCTGTGTACATTTGAGACAGAGGGCCGCCTGCCCAACAGCGGCCGCTGTTGGTTCGGGACAACATTTGCTGTTGGGCAGTGTGCCCATTGTTTCCGTGCCCATTTCGGGCGTCCAAATATTTCGGCTCAAGAAGGGGGGCTCCCGGAGGCCCGCGGCACCCGACGGGCGGCGGCAGCGCGGGCGAGGCGGGCGGGGCCGCGGCATGGCGCCTGCGGGAAGCGATGAGACACTCAGGCTTCCGGGTGTGATCTCTGTCGATGGTGGGCCCGATGCGCTCTCGGAGGCGACGACGGAAGTGCGGGTGCGCCTCACGGTCTTCGATGTTCCAGAGATAACGATATCGGCGAGCCGTTTCACTTGCAACTTCTTCCTGGAGGCATCCTGGCTCGACGAGAGCATGAAAGATGAGGATGCGTTGGACGTTGGAGAGTGGGCTCCGCAATTTCCTGTCAAGGGCCAGTCAACACATGGCCGGTGGACCCCGATGCTTCATTTCTACAATGTCCTGGAGCTCAAGGATAAGGAGGAATGGTATGTTGTCTACAAAAGAGACCGCGCCGACATGGAACTCCTGCCCACTCCTGTGGTCTGCTACCGCATGAGGGCCACTGGTGTATTCCGCGAAAGGTTCGAGCTGTACGAGTTTCCATTTGACTCACAGGACCTGCAAATACAAATTGTGTCATTGCATCCATGTGTCGACCTGCCCACGCAGTCAGAGCATCTTTCTGGGAAGACGAACGTTACTTTGAAGATGAATCACACTGATGAGTACGCATGCGTTGCTCCTGGAGATGATAAGGACAGATTCACTTTGTACGACGAGTACATCATGCAAAAGGATGTCCGTGAGAAGAACGAGAGAACGTTGGCTGACCATTCAACGACGAGGAAAACGTATCCTTTGCTGACACTCTACCTTAAGGTGACGCGACGGCCAGGATTCTACCTCTGGCAGGTGTATTTTCCGATGTGGATGTTGGTGCTCCTTGCATTTCCTATTTTGCTACTCCCAGTCAGCGACTTCGGAAACCGCTTGAGCTATCTATCGACCCTTCTGCTTGCTGCAATTTCGTACAAGAATTGGTTAGGAAATGTCTTGCCCAAGTGCTCGTACCTAACTTTTATTGACCAGTATGTGCTTGTTTCCATCGGTGTTATTTTCGTTGTCACGATGGAGAGCGCCGTCGTTTTTTGGCTGTGGAAGCAGATGTCCGATCCTCCGAAAGTGGCGATGGAGGAAATGGAAGATTTTCTGGGGTTCTCGGCCTCGGTGTGCTGGACATGTTGGCACGTATGGTTCTGTCAGCTCCAGGAGAGACACGATCCGAATGCGGTAAAGACAGAAAACGAAAAAATCAATGAGGCACGCAGCCCCCGTGCGGCAGGGAGTCGCTCCCCGAAATTGAAACGGCTGCCCAGCTGGGTTTCATCACGATCATCGGGTTCTGGATCGACTTCCCTTACACACAGGATGGCGCAGATCAAAGAGGACTTCACCAAAGAGGACTGACTGGCGAGAGCTGAACTTGGGCACACGTTGGTCCTCGACCCACTGACGTGACACGCCGAAGATAAGGTTGCACATTCACATTGGCAGCGCATCGCATGACAACGTATGCCGACATTCGGCGACTGCGCAACCACCCGTGGAGACACACGTTGTTCCCGACAGGTGATGCAGGAGTTGCACTGGGAGGTTGCTCGTCCAATTCTGCAAGCGCCTTCATGGTTTACACCCTCTCCGTGTTTCCTCGCAGCCACATGAGCAGGACTCACATTGTCTGGCACGAGCCAATGTGACATGTATGTTAGTGCAATTGGGGTAAGAAAGAAAGAAGAAGCAACAAAAAAAGTCTGGCGAAGGACCCAACCATATGCAGTTGTGACCACCGTCGTTGTACGCACCGCGTTCGGAGGAGCTCCCTATAGGGCCACGAAACGTGTGAGGGGTGTGCCAAAATTTGTCCGATGGGCGCATGCGAAAGCAGCCACTGGGGTCGTCGGTGGAATTCCCCATGGGGCCACGAAACGCATGAGAGGTGTGCCGAAATAGGTGCGGTGGGCGCATGCGAACGCAGCCACTGGGGCCGTCAATGGAGCTCCTCCCCATGGGGCCGCAAAACGTGTGATGGGTGTGCCGAAATGGGTGCGGTGGGCGCATGCGAACGCAGCCACCAGCGCCCTCGGTGGAGCTTCCTACGGGGCCACGAAACTGGTGAGGGGTGTGCCGGAAGGTGCGTGGGTGACGCATTTGGGCGGTGGCACCAGGGTCTTCGGTGGAGCTCCCTACTGGGCCACGAAACGCGTGAGGGGTGCGCCGAAATGGGCGTGGGTGACGCATGCGGGCGGTGGCACTGGGGCCTTCGGTGGAGCTCTCTATGAGGCCACGGAACGCGTGAGGGGTGTGCCCGAAGGGGTATGGGTGACGCATGCGGGCGGTGGCACCAGGGTCTTCGGTGAAGCTCCTTATGGGGCAACGAAGCGTGTGAGGGGTGTGACGACATGGATGTGGGTGACGCATGCGGGCGGTGGCACTGGGGCCTTCGGTGGAGCTCCCTGTGGGGCCACCGAAATGGGTGTCGGTGACGCATGCGGGCGGTGGCACTGGGGCCTTCGGTGGAGCCCCCTGTGGGGCCACGAAACGTGTGAGGCGTGTGCCGAAATGGGCGTGGGTAACGCATGCGGGCGGTGGCACTGGGGCCTTCGGTGGAGCTCCCTATGAGGCCACGGAACGTGTGAGGGGTGTGCCGAAGTGGGTGTCGGTGGCGCATGCGGGCGGTGGCACTGGGGCCTTCGGTAGGAGCTCCTATGGGCCACAAAACGTTGTGAGGGGGGCGCGAAAACGGGTGAGGGACGCATGGGGCGGTGGCACTGGGGTCTTCGGTGGAGTCCTTATGGGGCCACGAAACGTGTGAGGGGTGTGCCGACATGGGTGTGGGTGTGACGCATGCGGGCGGTGCATTGGGGCCTTCGGTAGAGCTCCCTATGGGGCCGCGAAACGTGTGAGGGGTGTGACGACATGGATGTGGGTGACGCATGCGGGCGGTGGAGGGGGGGGCGAGGAGGGGTGAGTGACGCGGTGCGCCATCTTCGAAACGAGGACCCAACACCACAGGATGGCTGGGAAAAACCAGCCAAAAAAAAATATCCTGGCGAAGGACCCAACCATATGCAATTGTGAATACTGCAATTGTGAATATCTTCTCGGTGGAGCCCCCTATGGGGCCACGAAACGTACGAGGGGTGTGCCGAAATGGGCGTGCGGGACGCATGCGGGCACACCCACTGGGGCCTTCGGTGGAGCTCCCTATGGGGCCACGAAACGTGTGAGGGGTGTGCCGAAAGGGGTGTGCGGGACGCATGCGGGCACACCCACTGGGACCTTCGGCGGAGCTCCCTAGGGGGCCACGGAACGCGTGAGGGGCGTGCCGAAATGGGTGTGGCTGACGCATGCGGGCGCGGGCACTGGGGCCTTCGGCTGAGCTCCCTATGGGGCCACGGAACGTGTGAGGGGTGTGCCGAAATGGGTGTGGCTGACGCATGCGGGCGCGGGCACTGGGGCCTTCGGTGGAGCTCCCTATGGAGCCACGAAACGTGTGAGGGGTGTGCCCAAATGGGTGTGGGTGACGCATGCGGGCGCGGGCACTGGGGCCTTCGGTGGAGCTCCCTATGGGGCCACGAAACGTGTGAGGGGTGTGCCGAAATGGGTGTGCGGGACGCATGCGGACGGCAGCACTGGGGCCTTCGGTGGAGCTCCCTGTGGGGCCACGAAACGTGTGAGGGGTGTGCCGAAATGGGTGTGAGGGACGCATGCGGACGGCAGCAATGGGGCCTTCGGTGGAGCTCCCTGTGGGGCCACGAAACGTGTGGGGGTGTGCCGAAATGGGTGTGGGTGACGCATGCGGCCGCGGCCACTGGGGCCTTCGGTGGAGCTCCCTATGGAGCCACGAAACGTGTGGGGTGTGCCGAATTGGGTGTGGGTGACGCATGCGGCCGCGGGCACTGGGGCCTTCGGTGGAGCTCCCTATGGAGCCACGAAACGTGTGAGGGGTGTGCCGAAATGGGTGTGGGTGACGCAAGCGGGCGCGGGCACTGGGGCCTTCGGTGGAGTTCCCTATGGAGCCACGAAACGTGTGAGGGTGTGCCGAAATGAGTGTGGGTGACGCATGCGGGCGGGGGCACTGGGGCCTTCGGTGGAGCTCCCTATGGAGCCACGAAGCGTGTGAGGGGTGTGCCGAATTGGGTGTGGGTGGCGCATGCGGGCGCGGGCACTGGGGCCTTCGGTGGAGCTCCCTATGGGGCCACGAAACGTGTGGAGGGGTGTGCCGAAATGGGTGTTGTTGAAACGCATGCGGGCGCGGGCACTGGGGCCTTCGGTGGAGCTCCCCTATGTAGCCACAAACGTGTGAGGGGTGTGCCGAAATCGGTTGTGTGTGACGCATGCGGGCGCGGGCACTGGGGCCTTCGGTGGAGCTCCCTATGGGCCACGAAAAAACAAAAAAAAACGTGTGAGGGGTGTGGCGCCTTGTGTGTGTGACGCCATGCGGGCGCGGCAAACTGGGGCCTTCGGTGGAGCTCCCTATGGAGCCACGAAGCGTGTGAGGGGTGTGCCGAAATGGGTGTGGCTGACGCATGCGGGCGCGGGCACTGGGGCCTTCGGTGGACTCCCTATGGAGCCACGAAACGTGTGAGGGGTGTGCCGAATTGGGCGTGGCTGACGCATGCGGGCGCGGGCACTGGGGCCTTCGGTGGAGCTCCCTATGGAGCCACGAAACGTGTGAGGGGTGTGCCGAAATGGGGGTGGGTGACGCATGCGGGCGCGGGTACTGGGGCCTTCGGTGGAGCTCCCTATGGAGCCACGAAACGTGTGAGGGGTGTGCCGAAATGGGTGTGGGTGACGCATGCGGGCGCGGGCACTGGGGCCTTCGGTGGAGCTCCCTATGGAGCCACGAAACGTGTGAGGGGTGTGCCGAAATGGGTGTGGGTGACGCATGCGGGCACGGGCACTGGGGCCTTCGGCGGAGCTCCCTATGGAGCCACGAAACGTGTGATGGGTGTGCCGAATTGAGTGTGGGTGACGCATGCGGGCGCGGGCACTGGGGCCTTCGGTGGAGCTCCCTATGGAGCCACGAAACGTGTGAGGGGTGTGCCGACATGGGTGTGGGTGACGCATGTGGGCGGTGGCACTGGGGTCTTCGGTGGAGCTCCTTATGGAGCCACGAAACGTGTGAGGGGTGTGCCGAAATGGGTGTGGGTGACGCATGCGGGCGCGGGCACTGGGGCCTTCGGTTGAGCTCCCTATGGAGCCACGAAACGGTGTACTGGGTGGGTGAAGAGGAGAGGAGGAGAGGAGGGGAGGAGAGGAGAGGAGAGGAGAGGAGGCGGAGGAGGAGAGGAGGAGAGGAGACGCGGGGCACCGTCTCTTCAAAACGAGGACCCAACAACACAGGTTGGTTGGGAAAAACAACTCCATACCCCCCCTTAAAGAACAACATGCATCACTCTTTATCCCCATGCTCGTCCCTCCCCCGGACCCCTGCCCCATCCATGCTCACTTGGTCCCTGATTTTTGGCAGAGGGTGGTGTGGGGCCGCTGCGGACACGAGGGCCAGCGACGAGGCAACGCCTCTGGAGAGGGGCTCCGCCGTTCTTCCTGAGGTTTGTCGCACGGTTTCGAAAAACGGTGTCGTTCTCTGTTCATCGTGCTTGGCGGCAGCAGCCTGACTGCACCTCGCCCACCTCCGCACGGAGGTGGCGGAGAGCGCAAAGGACGAGAAGGAGCGCCGGCAGAGGAACGAGAAGGAACGCCAGGCCAGGCGCGCGGAGGGCAGGGAAGAGCCAGAGGAGCTGGGTCGTCGGAGTCGTCGGAGTCATCGGAGTCGTCGGGGTCATGACGCGTTCCAACGTGTTCCAGATCTCCTGCTGCTCCGCACGGGCTCCAGAGACGTGGACCGCTGGATGCTCCAGAGCTCCTGGAACGCATCCTGAGCCAACCTTGGCAGGGCATGACTCCCGTCCCAGAGTTGGAGGAAAGGGGAGGAGGAGGAGGAGGGGAGGAGGAGGAGGAGAGGAGGAGGAGGGGAGGAGGAAGAGGAGGCGGAGGAGAGAGGAAGAGGCAGGAGGAGGAGAGGAGAGGAAGGAGGAGGGGAGGAGGGGGAGGAGGAGGAGGAGGAGGAGGAGGAGAGGAGGAGGAGGAGGAGGAGGAGGAGGAGGAGAGGCGGAGGAGGATGAGAGGAGGAGGAGGAGGGGAGGAGGAGATGGGGAGGTGAGGAGGAGAGGAGAGGAGGAGGAGAGAGGAGGAGGAGGAGGAGGGGAGGAGGAGGAGGGGAGGAGGAGGAGGAGGAGGAGGAGGAGGAGAGGAGGAGGAGGAGGAGAAGGAGAGAGAGGGGAGGAGGAGGAGGAGGAGGAGGAGTAGGAGGAGGAGGAGGAGGAGGAGGGGAGGAGGAGAGGAGGAGGGGAGGAGGAGGAGGGGAGGAGGAGGAGGAGGAGGAGGAGAGGAGGAGGATGAGGGGAGGAGGCGGAGGAGGAGGTACACGACGCTACGAGCTACGCTCAAAGTTTGCCCAACGCAAGAAGGAGGTGATCATTACATCACTCTCGTCCTAGAGTGGGAGGAGGAGGGGAGGGGGAGGAGGCGCAGGGAGGGGGAGGAGGATGAGGAGGAGTTGATTCGGGAGAAGGAAATAAAGGAAGGAGTAGAAGGATAAGCAGAAGGGGAGGGGGAGCAGGAGGGCAGACATGAAGCAAACAGAGGTTGAAGGTGGAAGGAGGAAGGAGGGTGAAGGAGGAAATTTGAAATGAAAGGAGGAGTATAATGAGGAGGCGAGGAGGAGGAGGAGGAGGAGGAGGAGGAGGAGGAGGAGCCGAGAGGAAAGAGGGGGCAGAGATGAAGCGAGCGGAGCTTGAAGGAGGAGGGAGGATGGATAGGTTGAAGAGGAGGCTCCGTGTCTACTTGGAGCCGTTTGATGGCGGTCTTGGGGCTTCTTGGAGGCGTACTGGAAACCACGACTAACCATATTGAGACTGGGCAGTCATGTGCCATCTTGGAAGCCATCTTGAACTACTTGGTGTCATCTAGGACCCTATACCGCCTCGCAAAACTTGGTCCCGACCCGAGAGTGGGGGGGGAGAGGAGGAAGGGGGACTCGGTAAATTCCTCCCCGAAGAGAAACAAGGGGTCGGAAGAGCGAGTTCCCTAAACCACCTACGCCCAGAGCGTTGGTGGCACTCGTTCCTGTGACTAACTGGAGTGGTTGACAGAATACCCAGTGCGAAGATGGGAACTTGTAGATGGTGAGAGGGATGTGAACGGGTCATTGCCGAATGTGCATGCATGCGACCCTCTCCCAGAGTACACACCACTGTTCATTGCAAGGCATTTTAGAGAAGACCTGACCTCGATGGCATACCGCTCGCCCATTACAAAGTGCTCTACTCCGGACAAGTTGCAGCCATCATGAGACCAGGAACGTTTCTGGTAACTAGCAGCATCGGGGCATTCCGACTGAAGCGCTCCTTGCGCAGTGCACCAGTCACAAATAGCAGGTCATCCGCATGGCCGCCAGGTCAGGCTGGAGGCCGAGCAGGAGGTGAAGAGGCACTTCCAGCAGAGAGCAGAGGAGGACGACTGCGGGGCCGCGGCCAGCAACGATGGATAAACATGCGAAAACAGTTAGGCGTTTCCCCCTCCTCGTGTGCTATCCAGCATTGCTCGGGTCTGGTAGAGCGTGTGGTGGTCCACTCGGCTCTGGCCAGGTGCGCCGCTGCGTGCAGTAGTTTCATCGATCCATTGGCAGCGCCCCAGATGTCTTCGCATCCGAGGTCCAAGAGGGATTCGCAAGAGGAAATTGCAACAGTCATTACCGTGTAGACCTAGAATCCAGTGTCGGAACTCCCCAAGCCAAAGCTGAGTTGGAAAGCTCGGCCGTGATGTGTTAGATGATACGGATGTGTGGCATGTTCGAATCCGCCCTCCCCCTTTCGCTTCCCCTCCCCCTCTTCCTCTCCCCCACGTAAGCCCGAAGATCGGCCACGAAGCCAGGACAGCTCGGTTCAAGTCACACGTGGGTCGGATCCTCGCGCTGAGCAGTGAGTGGAAACCTACAGCACGCGGAACAGCTAGATTGCGTGCAAGAGGCATACCAACCTCACAATCCACATGACGTTCCCGAGGCGTTCAGGAGTTCGCCCGGACGCCGGGCGCTTCGCAGAAGTGCGTACGTCACTGGAAGATTGTTCGGGAGGCCTCCAGAACTTCGCCTCGCCATCGCCTTCTTCGCCGCATCATGACGATCAGTAGTATTGTTTTCTTCCGACGTCACTGGAAGATTGTTCGGGAGGCCTCCAGAACTTCGCCTCGTCCTCGCATTCCTCGCCGCATCCTAATGATTAGTGGTATTGTTTTGCTTTCTCGCCCTCCCCCTGGCCTTGCCTAGCCGCACCCCGTTTTTCTCCATCTGACCTTCTCTGACCTCTTTTTGTGGCAGTGTTACTCCCCCTGTCCTCGTCTGGTCTGTCTCTAGGCCAGGTGGTGTCTTACTTCCCCTCGGGCGCTCGAGGTGCGCCATCCCCACTGGGAGCGGACGCAGCTCGGAAAACGGGCTCGGACCGTGTCCAGGAGAAGTTTTTTCGGGGCTCTTGTAGACCAGGCCGTGGCCATGTCTCATGGCGCCAACATCGCAGAGCGGATTTCGTTCGGAATAATTAGAGGGCCAGGATTGTCCCGAAGTGAATTTCGTGCGGATTTGTTTTGGCCAGGAATGAAGACTATACAAAAAAACACGTGATGTGTACGTCGCTTTTCGCTCGCAATGTCGGGGTGGTGCACTGAGAGAAGTCTTCACAGAAATCCGCGGCAGCACGTCTGCAAGGCCAGTGTAATGACATGTCTTGGTCCTCCCCTGGCACCTCTGCAGACCCCGAGAGCCGACTTCGCGAGAATTGCCCGAGACGTGCCCGACCCGTTCTGAACGCGAGGCGTAGGAGCGCTCCGTACACAAAGAACACGTTGAGAGATCAGTTGCATTCTTGCACGCTTCGCCAAGCAACGTCGGACCACACTCTCTTCAAGCCCGCGGGCGCCGAGTGGTCCAAGACAGTCGGATGCCGATCAGCAAGCGGTGGAGTGCACCAGGAGCGAGCTGAGGCACGACGGCGAACGAGAAACGAGAGCGAGGAGGGAAGAGGGAGGAGCCCGCTCAGACCATGAAAGCCAGCGCGGGCATGCCGCAGCAGATCTTGTGTGCGAGCTGCCTTTGAGCAGCGGAGACCGACGTCGGACCACACCCATCGCCCCCCCATGTCGCACCGACCTTGCGCAACGCAGACCGCCAAAGCAATGCCAGCGGCGAGCGCACCGCAGGGAGCGGCGGGGTCTTGCCCTGGATCCGCGCAACCCCACGCTCCGATTGACTTCCCAGGAGCCCGCGAGGGTGGCGACAGCTGCGCAGTCAGCAGCCCCCGAGGGAGCCGCGAGGTCTCGCCTGGATCCGCGTGTCTTTCCGCTCCCAACGTAGCGATTTCTGTGCAGTTGGTAGCCCGCCAGTGAGCCGCGAGGTCTCGACTGGATCCGCGTGTCCCTCCGCCGCTCCGCTAGACTTCCTAAGAACCCGCGAACGTGGCGCCTGTTGCGCAGTTGGCAGCCCCCATGGGGCTGCGAGGACACGACTGGGTGCGCATGTACGCTTGCTCCACCGAGCCTCCCAGAAGCCCGCGAAAGTGGCAGCAGATGTTCAGATGTCAGCCCCAGGGAGCCGCAAGGTCTCTATAGGGTGCGCGTGTCCCCCAGCACCGCTGAACCTCCCAGGAGCCCACGAAAGTGGCGACAGTTGGGCAGGTTGCAGCCCGCCAGGGAGCCGCGAGGTATCGGCTATGTTCACGTGTCCCTCCGCTCCGCTAGACTTCCCAAGAGCCCACGAAAGTGGCGACAGTTGCGGAGAGCCCGCATGGAGCCGCGAGGTCTCGATTGGGTGCTTGTGTCCTTCCGCTCCGCTGGACCTCCCAGGAGCTCATGGAAGTGGCGATAGTTGCGCAGATGGCAGTCCCCCATCAGATTGCGAGGTAAAAGGTAGAAGACAAGAGGAGGAAGTGAGGAGGAGGAGGAGGAGGAGGAGGAGGAGGAGGAGGAGGGGATGGAGGAGGAGGAGGAGGAGGAGGAGGAGGAGGAGAGGATGGAGGAGGAGGAGGGAGACATGGGGCAAGCAGCGCTCTATTCAAAACTAAAACCCAACCAAAGGGAGCGTTGGGGAAAACACAAATTCGCGAAAACACTCCAGCGGAGCCCTATACCCAATATGATACCGGAGAAAAACCCAATCATACTATCTTTAGGGCAATAGGGCTATAGGGCTATAAGGTTATGGGTCCATAGGGTTATAAGGCTATAGGGCTGTAGGGATGTAGGGCCATAGGGCTATAGGGCTATAGGGTTAAAAGGATATAAGGTTATAGGGCTATAGGGCTATAGGGATACAGGGCCGTAGGGCTGTAGGGCTGTTAGGGCTGTAGGGCTATAGGGCTATTGAGTTATAGTGCTATGCGGCTATAAGGCTATAACGCTATAAGGCTATAGGGCTATCGGGCTACCGGGCGCCCAAGCACCTGGGCACCCGGGCACTTGGCACCCGGGCGTGCCGCCGAAATCGGCGCCACAGCGAACCTAACCATATGAATCCGCTAGGACCCCTACAGAGGCAAGCTCTGATTGGGGCATGTATGCGGCATTTCTCGAGCCAGCTCAATATCATGTGAGGGTCCTGGGGTCCGAGACCAGGCGAAAACTCCCGGTGTGAGAAAAATGCAATGCCTTGATCGCAGGGGAAGCGGGTCCGTACCTTCTTGGCTCAAGGGAAGCTCGGGCTGTTTGAGGGCTCTGTCCGAGCGGGGGCGATGCAGACGCCCAGCTGGCAGAGGACCCTGGGCATCGCTGCAGGAGCGGCTGCCGGGGCCGGACTGCTCTGGTACCTCCTGCGGGAGGGCCCCGACGACGAGGACGAGGAGGAGGACCGGCCCGGCGAGTACGTGGTCCTGCAAGAGGCGCAGATCCGGGAGACGGAGGCCATGGACAGCCCTGAAGTGGCGGCGGACCTGAGGGTGGGCGAGCTCGTCCGCGTCCTCGAGGTCGTGTCCCTGCCCGCGCACAGGTCAGGGGCAACGTCGGGAGGCGGGATAAGCCCAGGGCGGGGGGGGGCGCATCGAACCCCAAAATCGCCCACGGATCGCCGACGGGGGACTGGCTGGTGGCCCACACCGCCCAGGAATCTGCAGATTCGCTGCTGGAGGCCTGCGTGGCGCCGCGCTGTCGGCGATGTAGCCCCGACTCCAGCGCGATGCGTCCCCCTGAGCCGGGCCTGGTCGCCTGACGCTGCCCCTCGATCATCGGCTAGACGTAAGAGTTGCCTGTCGCCAGGGTGACCTTTGGTGCGGGCCCAAGGAGGGGGAGGAGGAGGAGGAGGGGGAGGAGGAGGAGGAGGAGGAGGAGGAGGAGGAGGAGGAGGAGGAGGAGGAGGAGGTCCCCCAAAGAGGCTTCTGATTGGCTTCTGGCCCCCCGATTACCGAACGCGAAGCACCCCCTCGCGCCCGCCCTGAACCGGGGGAGCGTAAGACCCGGGTTTGCCAGGACTCGGGTTCGCCATCGTCTTTTGACGACCGCGCCTCGGATTTTGACGAGGAGGAGTTCCGTGGGATGTCTGCAGCGGGAGGCCTCGTCAAAATGCAGGCTCGGCATCGTCATTTTTGTTAACGACCTCGTCGGGGATTTCCGAGTCCCCTGTACCCAGGTCTTACGTCTCCTTGACTGAAGCCGCGCAGCAAGGGTCACTCTTGCCCAGGACCACCCTTGCGTGCATGCCGAGTCAGGAGGCTGAGGGGCCGCCTGCAGCACCCCGCCGGGTGGATCTCGCTCCTGAACACGGCCACCGGGGCCCGGTGGGCCCAGCGCGTCGGCCCAGCGCCCGCGCGGGCCACGTGAGGGCCCCCCGCGGCGCGGAGCCGCGGCGGGGGCGCGGCCCGCAGCGGGCCGCCCCGCGCCGCAGGCCAGCAGCGGCGCGCCTTCGCGGGCCGCTCGCGAGGCCGCGCGAAGCCTGCGGGCGCGAGGGCGGCGGCGGCGGCCGCCGAAGCCGCCCCGCGCGGCGCGGGCCTCGTCGGCGGCTGCCGCCAGAGCCAGCGGCGTGTGGCCCGCCGTGCCTCGCGGGCGCAGCGAGGGGCCGACGCAGCGGCCCGAATCGGAGAGGGCGTGGGCGAGAAGACAAGTAGATGAGGGACGGGGTCGCCCTCCTCTCCTCCTCCTCCATCCTCCTGGTCCTGCTCCTGCTCCTGGTCCTCCGCCGCCTCCTCCTCCTCCTCCTCCTCCTCCTCCTCCTTCTCCTCCTCCTCCTCCTCCTCGTCCTCCTCCTCTTCCTCCTCCTCCCCCCTCTCCTCCATTCCTTTTCCTACTAGAGAGCTCTTCTTTGTCGCACCCCGAGGCCAGTCGAAAGTGACCCAGATTTTCGCCTGAGAGTTCCTCACCATTTACAATCCTGAAGTTTCACAATGGTTAACAGTTGCACAGATGGAGGGCGGGTCGTTTTCAAAAGATGGTTCTCGCCTTAGCGCCGCGCACATTCGCTTTAAACAAGTGCAAGGGTTTCACGGATTCAGGGCAGGTCGTTTTCAAAATGCAGCTATCGCATTAGCGCCGCGCACATTCGTTTCAAAAATCAGGAGCTTCACGGATTGAGGACGGGCGTTTTTGTTTCAAAAATGTGGATATCGCCTTAATGCCGCGCAGATTCGTTTAAAACAGTTGCAAACGTCTCACGATTTCAGGGCGGGTCGTTTTGTCAAAACGTTGTTATTGCACTAGCGGCGCGCATAATCGTTTCAAACATTTACAAGAGTTCCCGGATTGACGGCAGCTCGTTTTCAAAATGTGGTTCTCGCTTTAGCGCCGCGCACATTCGCTTTAAACAAGTGCAAGGGTTTCACGGATTCAGGGCAGGTCGTTTTCAAAATGCGGTTATCGCATTAGCGCCGCGCACATTCGTTCTAAAAATCAGGAGCTTCACGGATTGAGGGCGGGTGGTTTTTAAAATGTGGGTATCGCCTTCGTGCCGCGCAGATTCGTTTAAAACAGTTGCAAGCGTTTCACAGATTCAGGGCGGGCCGTTTTTCAAAGTGTGGTTATCGCATTAGCGCCGTGTAAAATCGTTTTAAATGCGTGCAAGAGCTTCCGGATTGAGGGCAGTTCGTTTTCACAATGGTCATCTCGCCTTACTGCAATGCACATTCGTTTAAAACAGTTGCAAGAGTTTCACGCACTCAGGGCGGGTCGATTTCAAAATATGGCTCTCGCCTTAGCACCGCGCAGATTCGTTCAAAACATTTACACGAGCTTTACAGATTGAAGGCGGCTCGTTTTCAAAATGTGATTCCCGCTGCAGCGCCGCGCACAATCGTTCTAGAGAGTTGCGAAGGTTTTGCGGGCTCATGGTTACAACCCCCCCACACACACACGAACGTGGACTACCCACCAACGTAACCCAGACCTCGGTGACACCGAGCCCAGCCCGCGCGGAATCGGCGTGACACCTGCATTCTGGCGACACTCTGGTCTCGGAACGATGCTCTGGCTTTTGCGTGGGCCACATCTTTGACTAAAAATGTTGCTGCTGCTTAGACGCCAGCGACATCTTTCATTGAGCGTGTTGGTCTCGCCTGTGCGTGGGCCACATCTCTGATTGAAAATGCTGCTGCCGCTTTGGGCGCCAGCGACGTCCTTCATTGAGAATGTCGTTCTCGCCTTGGCGCCAAACAAATGTCTGATTGAAAATTTTGCTGTCGCTCAGGCGCCGGCAACATCCTTCATTGAGCATGTCGTTCCCGCCTTGGCGTTGGCCAGATCTTGGATTGAAAATGTGGCTGTCGCCCAGGCGCCGGCGACATCTTTCATTCAGCATGTCGTTCTCGCCTTGGCGCAGGCCACATGTCTGATTGAACATGTTATTGTTGCCTTGGCGCCAGCGTCATGACGCGCGCGCGTGCGTGACACACTGGTGTCGCCGAGCCGTTGGTCACGTTAGTTTTCATGGGTCAGATTAGCTTTGGCGCAGTGTCGACAGGGCCTGGATCAAGTTAGGTTAGGGATTTGCAACTTAGCGGGGGTGGCTGTAACGTACCAGAAATTGTGCTTTGAAACGATTAGGATTGCCAGGGCTCAATAGTTACGTTGATTCGCGGTGTTGAAGTCCCAGGAATGGCGTTCTGGCACGATTCAGGATCGCCAAGACTTCACAGTCAGGTTAACCCGTGGCGTTGAAGTCCCAGGAATGGTATTTTGATACGCTTCAGGATTTTCACACGGTTGTCCCCCAACGGGGAATCTTTTTCAATGGAAATGAATTGTTGTAGGGACCTATGAAGAGGGAGTTTGGAGGGAGGGTGTATTCCAACATCGTTGATGAGTCTTGGGTTAATGTTGGTCCTCCTTCTCGTCCTCCCCCTCCCCCTCCCCCTCCTCCTCCTCCTCATCATCATCTTCATCATCGTCGTCATCATCGTCATGCTAATCATCGCCATCATCATCAACAACATCATCGTTCAGCACCGTCATTATCGTCATGATTATCATCACCATCATCATCATCAGCAGTATCTTCATCATCAGCATCATCATCAGCATCGTCATCGTCATCGTCATCATCATCATCCTCCTCCGCCTCATCCTCATCAGCATCATCATCATCATCGTCGTCGTCGCCGTCGTCTTCGTCGTAATCGTCATCGTCGTCGTGGCGAGCGGGGGACCCTACCCGTTCTGCACCGGCGTGCCGCAGGCCACCTTTCTTCCCCTCGTGGGAGCGGTGCAGATCGGGGCGGGCCCCTCCGTTTGCCCTGTGGGCTCGGCGCCACCGCCCAGTGAGCGAAGAGGCCACGTCGCGCAGCGAGCGGGCGGCTGGCCGAGCCTACCGTGTCATCCGTAGGAGCTTTGCCAACAGTCGGCATCGTCATCATCATCATCATCCTCCTCCTCCTCCTCCTCCTCCTCCTCCTCCTCCTCCTCCTCCTCCTCCTCCTCCTCCTATCATCATCACCACCACCACCACCATCATCATCATCATCATCATCATCATCATCATCATCATCATCATCATCATCATCATCATCATCACCATCGTCATCATCTTCTTGTTGCTTCTCCAACTCCTATTCTTCAATCGGCCTGCCCCGACTGCCGCCGCTCCTCGCCCAGCCCTGCCCCAGGAGGCCGCCGAGAAGGCGGCGCAGGTCGCGCAGCAGAGGGCCGCGGAGGACGCGGCCGCCGCGGCCTAGCGTAGGAGGCCCGCTGTCAGAGGGCACCAGCTGTACGCCTGTACCGATCCTGGCCAGGCCGATCCAGACCCTCCTCCTCCTCCTCCTCCTCCTCCTCCTCCTCCTCCTCCTCCTCCTGCCGCTGCGGAGACAACACGACGGAAGGTGTGTTGCAGTCTTCTGCATCTGGGGGGCCCTCGCCGGGCCCCCGGACTGCCGAGATAACTCGGGACGGAGAGCCGGGCCTTGAGAAAGGAGTCCAGATCGGGAGCCTTGAGACGGGGGTCAACGCAAACGGGGGTCAGCCAGAGCGCCCCGGCCTTGCAGGATCCTGCAGGGCCAGGGTCGCACTGACCCGGGTTTGGGTGCAGGATCCTGCAGGATCCTGCAGGATCCTTCGCATTGACCCGGGTTTGGGTGCAGGATCTTGCAGGATGTTGCAGGATTCTGCAAGGCCTGACTGACCCGGGTCTGGATTGACCCGGGTCAGAGGACCCCCGACCAGATTTGTGGGGGGCGCGTTGTGGCACAACAAAAAAACAAAAACCAAAAAACGAACAACAACAAAACAAATGCGGCGATATTGAGGGGATCTCGGGATCGGTGCACACGATGCGGCGTTCCGTGCCTCGGGGTCTGGGCGGGAAGGGGTCTGTCCCTGCGGGTTCTGATGCCTGTGCCGACGACGCTCACGGCGGGTGCACGCACTTCACCCGCAGATCACGCAAGGGCTCGAGCTGCCCACGGCTGAGCGATGCAACAATCTCTGCATCCACGGAATCTCCTCCTCCTCATCATCCTCCTCGTCCTCCTCGTCCTCCTCCTCCTCCTCCTCCTCTTCCTCCTCCTCCTCCTCCTCCTCCTCCTCCTCCTCCTCCTCTTCGTCCTCCTCCTCCTCCTCCTCCTCCTCCTCCTCCTCCTCCTACTCCTACTTCCTACTCCTACTCCTCCTCCTCCTCCTCGCCTCCTCCTCCTCCTCCTCCCCTCCTCCTCCTCCTCCTCCTCCTCCTCCCACTCCTCCTACTCCTACTCTTCCTCCTGGCCAGGCCAGGAGGGCGCATGCGCCTGTCTCGGTGCCCAGTGCGGGCCCGGCAAGGATCGGCGCGGCGTGTGCGGTTGGCGCCTTCCTGCGCTGGCAGCAGCGCGTGCGCCTGCGAATGCACGCGCGCGTTCCGCGCCCTCCGCACGGCGGGCCCCAGCGGCGGGCCCTGGACTCGGCGAAGCAGGGCGTGCCGCTCGCGCAACCGCGGCGTCCGCGCGTCGCGGGGGAGGCCGAGGGGGGGGACAACCGAGACGGACCGCATCGCAGTGAGTTGCCAACTTGCGTTGATGACGGCACCCGAAAGTGAAAGCGGCACTCGTTGGCGAGCGCAGCCTCGCGCGCGGCGACGAGGCGGAGAACGTCACCGAATGGGACGAGCCCAGCTGGCCCCTCAGCACAGCAGAAGTCTATGTGGAGCAGCCGTGCCGGGCGTATCCGACACAGGGAGGGTGAAGTGGGGCACAGGCCCGTGGATGACAGGTGGTGGGGGTGACGTTAGAACGGAAGAGGGAGAGAGCCTCAACACACACACACACACACACACACACACACACACACACACACACGCTTTGGCGTCGCGGCCCTGCACGCAGCGACGGGGAGGAGAAAGTCTTCGAGCAGCAATCGCGCGCGCGCGCGTCTGGAACGCCCGAGCCCTCAGAGACCGCCATGGGTCTCGCTACAGCCACCGCCAGAAGTCATTTGGGCATGGATGATGGGGAGGGGGCCTGTGATGCATGTGGCTGCAGTGCATCACACACGCACACGCACACACACACACACACACACACACACACACACACGCACACACACACACAAACACAAACACACACGCGCAGATTTCTGTTTGCCACCGACGCGCCGACGACGCCAATCGACGGGCGCATGGGAACGGGACGCACTACCCGCGAGGTGGCGACATGCTGGTGGAGGCGCGGTCGGAACCGCTGCCCCTGGCTATGGCCCTGGCGACGGGGCCAGGAGAGTTCAGGAAAAGTGGGCGCACGGAGAACACGAGACAATTGAGCTCGAAAATATACACGCACGAGTTCGCACCCACGTGTAATGTTCAAAGCGCTTCAGGGGCGGAAGGGGGGGCAGAGTCAGCGGGGACGATGATTGGCCGGTTGACACGAGTCAGTCGAAGGGGAGAAGGCGAAGGAGGAGGAGCAGAGGCAGGAGGGGGAGGGTCAAAAGGAGAACGCGAGGGAAAGAGACGGATGAGGAGGAAGAGGGCACGGTCGAGGACGAGAAAGATGTGGGAGAGGAGGGTGCAGGAGGAGAATGGACAAGAGTACCAGGAGGAGGCGGAGGAGAAGGAGGAGGGTGGAGGAGGAGGAAATTGAGCAGGATAACAAAGGGGAAGACAAGGATGACGGCGAGGACGACATGGAGGGGAAGGGAGGCAACGAGAGAGTGGGAGGAGGAGGAGGAGGAGGAGGAGGAGGAGGAGGAGGAGGAGGAGGAGGAGGGCGACGACGACGAGAACGAGGAAGAGGAATTTGGGTAGGAGGGGAGGGGGAGGTGGAGAGGCAGGGCGAGAAGACAAGGGGGAGCGCGGCGGAAGAAGCACAGCTTTGATCACGACAGGAGGCTGGGGAGGAACGGGAGAGGGAGGGGGAGATGAGAACGAGGGCTCGGGGAGGAGGGGGAAGGAGGAACATGAGACGAAGGAGGAGGAGCAAGAAGACAATGATATGTAGGAGGAGGAGGAGGAAGAGAAAAGAGAAAGAGTAGGAGGTGGAGGAGGAGGAGGAGAAGGAGAAGAAGCAGAAGAAGAAAAACGTAAAGGATGAGGACAAAGAGGGCGAGGGCGCGGAGAGAGCACTATTGGAAGACAATTGGTTGAGAGTCCGCAGTCGTGCCGAGCCACCTCTCCTGCAAGGCCCAGTGCCACGAGTCAACGTGAGTGTTGCGCCCTGGCAACCCTAAAACGTGCAAGGACACCATTCCTAGGACTTCAACCATACGAACCCAGGCGACTGCGAGCGGCGCGTGGGCGAGAGCCCCATTCCGAAGACGGCGGGCCCTTCGACCTTCAAGTTGCTGCAAGATCGCAGGACGAATGTGCGCAGCTCCAGGGCGAGGGCCACGTTATGAAAAGGAGCCGCCCTCCGCCCTTGAAACGTATACAGGCTTTGAAGACGAAGCTGCGCGGCCCTGAGTGGTCAACCATTCCTAGGACTTCAACCTAGAAACTGCTGCACCTCTTCGGAACGAGTGCGCGCGACGCGCCAAGGGAAGGGCAGCGTGTAGACAAGGGAGAGCCGCCCTCCGTCCGTGCCAGCTTTGCAGACGCGTGCGCGCGGCCCCAAGGAGCGACGGCCGCCCTTTTGAGAGCCGCCCGCGAGAGTCGTCCGCGAAGCCGCTGCGAAGTGCGCACGAAGGCGCACTTGGCAGCGGCTTCACGGACGCACGTAGGGCGCACGTGCGCGGGCGCGCTTAGAAGTCCGTCAGGCGCACGTGCGCGGCGCAGAGGCGAGGGCCGCGTCTGGAAGACGGCCCGCCCTCCCTCCGTGAAGCGACTGGACATGTTCAAGGCACGGGTGCGCGGCACGAAGGCGGCGGCCGCGTTCTGAGAACGGCCCGCCCTCCACCCGTGAGACTGCTGCAGATCTCGAGCGTCGGGATCATACGTGGTGAGGAAGCCTAAGGCGAAACGCCTGTTCCGACACGTCTGGGGGAGCGACGGGAAGGAGTTATCTGCAAGGAGAAAGGATGGAGGAGAAGGAGGAGGAGGAAGAGGTGGAGGAAGAGGGGGAGGAGGGGGGGAGGACGAGGAGGAGGAAGAGGAGGAGGAGGAGGAGGAGGAGGAGGAGGAGGAGGGGGAGGAGAAGGCCAAGGGGAAAGACGAGGAGCCTCCTCGTCCTCCTCACCCCTCTCCGTTTCCACATGGTCGTCGCCCTCGGCGTGTTTCTCCTCGTCATCGTCGGGGATGGCTCGGCCCGACGAGGCGTCCGCCTCCAGGACCGCAGCCAGCATCATCTCTCTCTCTCTCTCTCTCTATAGCTCTCTCTCTCTCTCGCGCGCGCGCTCTATCTCTCTCTCTCTCTCTCTCTCTCTTTCTCACTATGTCCCTATCTCTATCTCTCTCCTTCTCTCTCTCTCCCTCTCTCTCTCTCTCTCTCTCTCTCTGTTTATGTTTGTTGTATGTGTATGTATGTATGTGTTCTCTCTCTCTCACTCTCTCTCTCTCTCTCTCTCTCTCTCCCCCTCTTCCCTAAAGAGCGTGTTCTACCGCTGCTGGCGGAAAACCGGGGGGGGTCACTACTGGTTCGAACCCCTCCCCCCCCCCGCCCTCCGGAAAACCGGGGGTCACTACCGGTTCGAACCCCTCCCCCCCCCCCCCCAGCTCATCATGAAAAGGGGGGGGGTCACTACCGGTTCGAACCCCCCCCCCCCTCGAAAACCGAGTGGGGGGGGTGCGGACAGGGGTGGGGACGGTGTTGGTGGGGACAGTGGTCAGGGGACTGCGGGACAGTGGTGGGGACAGTGGGGGGACAGTGGGACAGTGGTGGGGACGGTAGTGGTGGGGACAGTGGTGGGGACAATGATGGGAACAGGGGGGACAGTGGACAGTGGTGGGAACGGTGGTGGTGGGGACAGTGGTGTGGGGACAGTGGGAATGAGGTGGAAACACTGGGACAGTGGAGGGTACAATGGTGGTGGGGACACTGGTAAAAGGCGTCGGCGAGGACGGCGGTGGGACAATGGGACAGAGGTACAGTGGGGACAGTGGTGGGGACAGTGGGGACAGTGGTGGGAACAGTGGGACAGCTCAGTGGGACAGCGGAGGAGTCAGTGGGACAGTGGGGACAGTGGGGATAGGCAGTAGTTGGGTCCGTGGAGACAGTGGGGAGAGTGGAACCGTGGTGGGGAACAGTTGTGGAAACAGTGGGGACAGTGCGACAGTGGTGGGGGCACTGGTGGGGACAATAGGGACGGTGGTGGAACCAGTGGGGACAGTGGTGGTGAGGAC